CCCCCCCCTTGGTGGCTATTCTTAAAGCCCATTGCTACTAGGTCAAGTCCAACGCCCAGCAACCCCATTAGGGTGGTTCAGTGGGAAGGAATTGCACTGCCAAGGCCAAGGTACATGATTTGAATTCAACAGATGATCCCCTAGAGGAAGATGGGCAGTCTCCTCCCATGTGATTTAAGCCTCTGGAAACCCGCTGGAGGGTCGGCAATGGGTCCATTATGACGCAGCAGCACACAACAGCAGGCCCAGCTCTGTAGACACAACAGTGGCCCCAGCTCTGCAGGGTCTCCCAGGCCCTCAGTCTTTATGGACACTGACTGTCTCTTCCCTCCCCGCATCTAGATGTTCAAGCCACAGTGAGCAGGTCAACACTCGGCCCTCTACACCAGCTACACCATCAGCACGTCTTATTTATTCTTAAGATGCCCTTTCACTCAACAAACAGGTGAGAAGGCAAGCTCCCAAGGCACAGTGAGCAGCGGCATCCACAGAATCAAAGCGTCCCACAACACTTGGAGATAAGAAAAAGTCAAAGGATCAAAAGGGCAAGAAAAGAACCAGAGACAGTGATAATATGAAGGGGGGGGAGGGGGGAATATGGACTGGGAAACACACAAAACGTGCCCAGGAAGGTGGTAACGCATGTGCAGGGCTGAGCCTTTGCTTCTGAAGGGCAACTGTTCCATTTTCAGAGTATTTCTACATTTCACTTCAGCCCTGAGGCGTTCCTGAGCCCATAAATGACCTCTTCACCCATCCAGGGGTCCCTTTTCAGATTATTCATGGATGATCATAGAGAGCAAATGAGTTAAAAATTCAGTTACACATTCACTGAACGTACACCAAAGACTGAGGGAGATACATAGAAAAGAGAATTCTTGTCTCGAGGGAAAGCTTTTTCTAATCTTACTAAATGGCCAGCGCCTCTCTTGACCTCTCACTTGCCCTAGTTTTTCTTCTTGGTCATCCAAGCTCCCCAACAATAAAACTTTAACAGTAAGACAAAGCCTTACCCAGGCATCTTCCGAGTGCTGCTGGCTGTAACAAAGCCAAAGTTCTGTCTAAGCTTCAGTCACTCGCAGTCAGACCTGAACGTCCCTGAGGCTCAGTCGGCTTGCCCTCAAAGGAACAGAGGACAGCAAGCTTTAAGGCGGCCTGGAGGGTCAGTGCAGGAGAGGAAGACCCTGGGCTAGATGGACTGACACAGCGACTGTGGCAACGGAGGCAGGTGTGTCAGACAGGGTTCAGAGCTTTTGTTCACAGGGTCACTACGAGTCAGAGTCGACTCATAACAACACCACAGCAGTGTGTAATGAGTTCTGGGGGCTTAGTGGTAAGGAAATGCACTGCCAACCAAAGATCTGAATGACCAGCCACTCTGTGGGAGAAGGATGGGCAGTCTCCTCCCAAGCAATTTACTGCCTCGCTGAGTGATGAGAGTCGTCGGTTCCAACTCCACAGTACACAAAATAAACAAATAGAAAGAGATGATAGAGAGGGAGGAAGGAAAGAAGGGGGAAGGGAGGAAGGGAGGGAAGGAAGGAAAAGGGTATTGAGTTGTGCTGCCAACCCAAAGGCATGAGGTTTGAATCCACCAGGTGCTCTGTGGGAGGTGGGCAATCTCCCCCCAGGGGATTTACTGTCTCTGAAAGCTGCTGGTGAGTCCCTTCCAATTCCAAAGCAATGAGCCTGAGGGTTGGGTTGGGTTGGGTTGGGTTGGGTTGGGTTGGGTTGGGTTGGTTTGGTTTGGTTTGGTTTGGTTTGGTTTGGTTTGGTTTGGTTTGGTTTGTAGTACTTCTGAGACTAGGATTTCCCTGGTGGAAGAAACACTTAACACTCTCGGAGCTGTTTGAATTCACACAGGCACCTGGGGACAAAGTGCTGGAAAGAAGTACCTGTGAGCAGCTCAGCCACTGGTGCCTCCTGGAGCCCAAATCTACTGTGTCTTGGGGTACACTTGGGGTCTCTGCCCTGAAGCAGAATCTCATTCCTGACAGTCTCACCTCTGGTTTGCTTTAGGTAACTCTCTCCCTAATCGACACTAACTTCCTTGTGAACAATCTTTCCACTCACAGAAGGAAAATACCACAGAGGCTGGGAGTGAACTCCAGGCAAGGGGGCTGCAGACCTGCTGTGCACCTCGGGGGACCTGGGGGGGGGGGGGCGGCCCCTCCCAGCCTGCCTGCCTCATCTTTAAAATGAGATACACCAGCACCTGCCCCAAGCACCGACAGAGGGATTAAGATGCGCCCTACACATAAACTCTCAGGTCGCCGTGAGGACATGTCCTCCTCGTTAGCTTTGCTGTGTTTCACTGAGTTATTACCCCTGGCCCAGTCTCTGCATAAAGTCGAAGTCAACAAATATTTGTTGACAAAACAAATGAGTAACGAAGACCAGTAACCCGGGTACCTGCTTGTCTAGCCTTGTGGAAAACGGATTCCTCTGCAAAGGTGAGCGCACAGCCGGGGTATACCTGTTGATGAGTCAGCCTCAATTGTGACCTATCCATGAAAAATAACTG